GAATGCCCCGAACGCAGAACTGCCATCATTGCAAGGGAGCTGGGATGCTTCAACATCGACATAGCAGCCCTTCAGGAGACCCGGAGAGCAGGAGAGGGACAGCTGAAGGAAGAAAAAGGAGGCTACACCTTCTTCTGGAAGGGACTGCCCGAAAAAGACCAAAGAATGCACGGAGTTGGCTTCGCCATCAGAAATGATCTGATGAAACATCTGTCCGAAGCACCCACTGGCATCAACGAACGACTCTCAACCCTCCGAATCGATCTTGCCAAAAACCAACGGGCAACCATCATAAGTGCCTATGCACCAACACTAGATGCTGACGAAGACATCAAGGAGAAATTCTACTGTCAGCTGGACAACGTCCTATCAGGGATACCTAAGGAGGACAAAATCATCCTCCTGGGGGACTTCAATGCAAGAGTTGGGCGAGACTTCGACCTGTGGCCAGGAACCATCGGAAAAGACGGGGTTGGAAACAGCAACTCAAATGGCATCCTGCTTCTCACCAAATGTGCGGAGCACAACCTTGTCATCACCAACACGCTCTTCCGCCAGAAAAACAAGTTCAAGACATCATGGAAGCACCCCCGGTCAAAGCATTGGCACCTCTTAGACTATGTAATCACACGCGCCAGAGACCGCCGTGACGTGCTCCTCACAAGAGCCATGACAGGTGCTGACGACTGCTGGACTGACCACAGGCTAATTCGATCCTCGATGGCTATCAAGATCGCTCCCAAGCGCAGACTCCAAGGAAGGAAGACAAGGCGCAAAATGAACACCCAAGCCCTTCAGGAGCCCTCCAGACGAGCCCATCTCCAAACAGCACTCAAGGACCATCTACCTACAGTACACCCCGAAAATGTTGAGGAACATTGGAACAAACTGAAGACCTCCATCATCCAAGCCTGCGAAGAAACTATTGGATACCAAGCCAAGAAACATCAAGACTGGTTTGATGAAAATGACATCGAGATCCAACAGCTAATTGACAAGAAAAGGAAAGCCTTCCAAGCATGGCAGAGAGACATCAACTGTGCTGCTAAGAAAAAGATCTATGCTAGTGCAAAAGCTGAGGTCCAAAGAAGGACAAGAGAACTCAAGAACATCTGGTGGACAAAGAAGGCCGAAGAAATCCAACACCTGGCAGATACCCATAATGCTCAGGGATTTTTCAAAGCCACAAAGGTCATCTACGGACCAAGAAACCATGGCATACAGCCTCTACGCTCATCAGATGGAACCAAACTCCTGAAGGACCAAAACTCAATTGCACTACGTTGGAAAGAACACTACCAAAGCCTCCTGAACCGCAGCTCCAATGTGGCCGAAGAGGTCCTCTCACAAATCCCACAACAACAACCCAGGGATGAGCTTGCAGCACTGCCTAGTTTGGAAGAAGTCAGCAATGCCATCAGCCAACAGAAGAATAACAAAGCCAGTGGACCAGATGGGATCCCTGCTGAAATCTTTAAAGAGGGAGGACCTGAGCTGACACACCAACTCCACCAGCTCATAGAAAAAGTGTGGGTGACCGAGAAAATCCCAGCAGATTTCAAGGACGCCACCATCATCACCCTCTTCAAAAAAGGGGAAAGAACAGACTGCGGAAACTATCGAGGTATCTCCCTTCTAACCTCCGCTGGGAAAATTCTCGCAAGAATCCTTGCAAACCGCCTTCTGCCCCTCTCAGAAGACACCCTCCCAGAATCCCAGAACGGCTTCCGCCCCTCCAGAGGAACCGTGGACATGATCTTCACTGCACGACAGCTCCGAGAAAAATGCAGGGAACAAAACCAACCTCTGTACATGGCATTCATCGACCTTGCAAAGGCATTCGACACAGTGAATGCAGCGCTCTCTGGACCATCCTCCACAAAATCGGGTGCCCAAACAAATTTGTGAACATCCTGCGGCTCCTCCACGATGACATGATGGCAACAGTCTGGGACAGCAGTGGCTCCCAAAGTGACCCATTTAAGGTGGAATCAGGTGTCAAACAGGGATGTGTTATTGCCCCAACTCTATTCTCCATCTTCATCGCTATGATACTTCACCTTGTTGATGGGAAGCTTCCCACCGGAGTGGAAATAATCTATCGGACAGATAGCAAGCTATTCAACCTCAGCAGACTGAAAGCCAAAACCAAGGTTACAACAACATCTGTTATAGAACTCCAGTATGCTGATGACAATGTCGTCTGTGCGCATTCAGAAGAAGATCTACAAGCCACTCTAAACACCTTCGCAGAAGCATACGAGAAGCTCGGCCTGTGATTGAACATCGAGAAAACCAAAGTGCTGTTCCAGCAGACGCCAGCCAATCCCTCTCCAATGCCAGCGATACAGCTTAATGGTGTAACATTAGAAAATGTTGATCATTCCGCTACCTTGGCAGCCACCTCTTCCACCAAAGTCAACATCGACGCCGAAATACAACACCGCCTGAGCTCTGCAAGTGCAGCATTTTCCGAATGAAGCAGAGAGTGTTTGAGGACCGGGACATCCGTAGGGATACCAAGGTGCTTGTCTATAAAGCTATTGTCCTCCCAACCCTGCTCTATGCCTGTGAGACGTGGACTGTCTACAGACGTCACATGCAACTCCTGGAACGATTCCATCAGCGCTGCCTCCGGAAAATCCTGCAAATCTCTTGGGAAGACAAGCGGACAAACGTCAGCGTGCTGGAAGAAGCAAAGACCACCAGCATTGAAGCGATGGTCCTCCGCCATCAACTCCGCTGGACGGGCCATGTTGTCCGGATGCCCGACCACCGTCTCCCAAAGCAGTTGCTCTACTTCGAACTCAAGAACGGAAAACGAAATGTTGGTGGACAGGGAAAAAGAGATTTAAAGATGGCTCAAAGCCAACCTAAAGCTCTGGCATAGACACTGAGAACTGGGAAGCCCTGGCCCTTGAGCGCTCCAGCTGGAGGTCAGCTGTGACCAGCAGTGCTGCAGAATTGAGGAGGCACAGATGGAGGGTGAAAGAGAGAAACGTGCCAGGAGGAAGGCGCGTCAAGCCAACCCCGACCGGGACCGCCTTCCACCTGGAAACCAATGCCCTCACTGCGGAAGAAGATGCAGAGCAAGAATAGGGCTCCACAGCCACATACGGACCCACAAAATCCATAACGGAAGACCATCTTACTCGTCCAACGAGGGATCGCCTAAGTAAGTAAGTAAAGTAAGTAAGCTTTGAACTGGATTATATGGCATTGTAGACCAAGGCCTCTTCCACACAGCTGTATAAAATTTCACATTATCTGTTTTGAACTGGGTTATATGGCAGTGTGGAGTCAGATAACCCAGGCCCCTTCTACACTGCCATATAAAATCCAGATTATCTGCTTTGAACTGGATTATATGGCAGTGTGGACTCATATAATCCAGTGCAAAGCAGATAATTTGGATTATCTGTTTTGATAATTTGGGTTATATGGCAGTGTGGATGGGGCCACCGTTCAAAGCAGATATTGTGGATTATTTGTTTTAATATTCTGAGTTATATGACTGTGGAAGTGAGGCCGAACCTGGAACTCCCTGCCTTCAAGTTGATCTGACTCGCAGCAGGGAGTTCCTCAGTCCTCCATTGCCCCGCTTGGGCCAACCGCATGAACGTGGCCACAGCAGCAGCTGCAACTCAGAAGCCTTCTCATTTCTTTGCTTTTTCCCCTTCCTAACATTGTAACTAATCCCCCCAATAAAAAGTACCAATTAATTGTAACCTTTCCCTCTACATAGTGATACTTTGTATCTGTTACTGCCTCAAAACTTCTCTTTCAATAAACCTTTCTTCTCCCGGGCTGCAGATGGCTGTCGGCCCTCCTGGGATGCGATTTTCGCATCCCAGGAAGGCCGAAACTGCGTTCCCTTAAACCGTGGATACGGAAACCCCTCGGGCCCCCGTATCTGCGAGTCCACGGACCACTTCAAAAATGGTGTCATTCTTCTCCTGGGAGAATTCTAAGACTAATGGCTATATCGGTTTCACTCTGCTGCCCCTTCCGCCCCGGGAATAACCTTTTTTGCCTCTGAAACCCCAACCTGGAGTCCAGCTGTTTTTTCCAAAGAAGTTGCCTCTCTGCCACCATTTTGTGGATGTCCAAGGAGCCTGCTGATCCTGGGAAACTGCTCCTCCCAGCTCACTGACGTCACAGCCAATCAAAGCAAACAAGCTCAGGGGGCGGGTGCAGGAAATTTGAATGGGAAAAACTGTATATATTGTGTAATTCCCTGCTCAGGATTTATGCCAGCTCCTTTGCAGATTACTGTGGTCATCATCCTTTCCAGCTGGAATAGAAAAAAAAAACTTCGGTGGCCTTGCTGGCGTGATTTATTGGGAATAGGAAAACTTTTATTGTTGCTTATTGTTTCACCAGGCGTAGCGAACCCTCCTTTTGGGTCTTCGCCGGCCTCTGCTCAGGCAGGGCCCCCTAAATACGTGTGCTGCTTCAATAATAATAATAATAATAATAATAATAATAATAATAATAATAAAGAGGGAAGAGACAAATGCCCTATCAGATTCTCCAGCCTGATCTATGGAAAATAGTAATGATTGCATACCTTTCCAAACAAGATCAAACAAGTATTGCAAACTTTGAAAGAACATGTACAGATAATGAAGTTGGCCTGGAATATGCCGAATATGTCCGCCTTGCCATATAGACAAGGATATAGAAGATTTAGAGTGGAGTACAATTTTCAAGGAAAGATTTAGGATGGATCTACATTGCCATAAAATCCAGTTTCTATATCCGAAATAATCTGCTTTCAGATGGATTATACTGCCATATAATCCAAAACAGATAATCTGGATTAAGAAACTGAATTATACGGTGGTATAAATGGGGCCTTAATGATATACAACAACGATCCTCTGTTGAGCCACCAAATATATGGCATAGGTATTGCTATTTTGCACCACACCAAATTCTAAACCATAGCCACCCAATAAATGATACCACGTAGACTGGAGGAATTTAATAATTCAACGTAACCACAAAGGTCTTGTTCTTTATTCCAAAACATGCAATTCCAAAATACATTCAATCAAAATGCAACGAAAGCTGTGACAGACATAGCAAGCTGCTTTATATCACATCATTTTGACCTATTTAACCTGCCATCATCCTCACCCTTTGACTCAGGCAGAGAGAGGTCTTTCATTTTACGTGATTTCCAGATTAGGGTGGGCAAGATGTAAGACTTCATACCGTGCGGGACTGCAACCCTTAATAGCCACATAGCCAATGATAAGGAATGCTGGGAGTTATAGCCCAGCAACATCTAGACAGCCACGTTTTGTCCACCATGGTTCTACCTTAAAATGCTAGAATTTCCCGTGGACCCATAGTTTCTTAGAGCATAAAAAAGAGAAAAGTGGGGTGTGTGGTGATGCCTTTAAGATTAATGGGTTTTCACAATTTTTGCATGATCAAAATTATCTGCTTTGAACTGGATTATTTGCTTTGAACTGGATTATTTGGCAGTGTAGATTCATATAATCCGGTTCAAAGCAGATAATGAGGATTATCTGATTTGATAATCTGGATTATATGGCAGTGTAGAAGGGCCCCTTGGTTCCTTCTACACTGCCCGATAAAATCCAGATTATCTGATTTGAACTGGATTATCTGGCAGTGTAGTCTCATATAATCCAGTTCGAAGCAGATAATGTGGATTATCTGACTTGATAATCTTGATTATATGGCAGTGTAGAAGGGGCCTTAGATATAAACCTCCGTCTTCAGATGCAATACAGAGTAATAATAAATGCTCAGGGTTTTTATCTCTATACTATATGCCTGGCTACAACTACAACTCCCAAATGTCAAGGTCTATTTCCCCCCAACTCCATCTGTGTTCATATTTGGGCATATGGAATGGAATATTCATGCCAAGTGTGGTCAAGATGATGTGGTCCATCATTGTTTGAGTCCACAGTGCTCTCTGGGTGTAGGTGAACTACGACTCCCAAACTCAAGGTCAATGCCCACCAAACCCTTCTAGTGTTTTCTTTTGGTCATGGGAGTTTTGTGTGCCACATTTGATTCAATTCCATCATCGGTAGAGTTTGGAATGCTCTTTGATTGTAGGTTAACTATAAGTCCCTGCAACTACAACTCCCAAATGACAAAATCATATTTATTTATTTATTTGCATGGTGGTCACTCATTGGGTTGTTAGGTGTATGCTGTCCAAATTTGGTGTCCATTGGCCCACTGGTTTTTGAGTTCTGTTAATCCCACAAACGAACATTACATTTTTATTTATATAGATTGGCATTCATTGATTGGTTATTATTAGCACTCTGCACTGCATCCAAAGGAGATTTATACCCATGAAAGTTCAGGCAAAAATAAAAACCAGATAGCATTCAATTTCCCCTCACAACAATAATACACCGTGGTAAGACCCAAAATTGAAAAAAAAAAGTCCCCAAAATTTCAATCAGCTCCTGCATTTATCACTCTAATTGTACTTTAACATGCAAATATTGGAAAGTAAATGTCTGAAATATTATAATTAGAATTGTGGGATTATTCTTAATGTTAAATGGTTAAGAAAAAAATGTGGAATGAAAGCAATGATTTAAAATGACTTAAGGCCCCTTCTACACTGCCATATAAAATCCAGACTGTTTGCTTTGAGCTGGATTATATGGCAGTGTAGACTCGTATAATCCAGCGCAAAGCAGATAATGTGGATTCTATATTAGAAGTCAATTGGCCTTTTGGACTCCACCTGGAGTTTTATGCACAGGTATGCTTAGTGAGCAATCTTACTCTAAAATAGGGTACAAGGCAGCATTGGCCACCCCGCAGTTGTTGTCCTTCATTGATAGGAGAATGTAGCCGTCATTTCCCCAGAAGGTGGACCAAGAGTTCTTGATCAGCCAATAGGGCTGCCCTTGCAGGACCCCATAGCCCACAACCAGCACTCCGTGGTTCAAGGTGGTGCTATTGCCTGTTGCAAAAAAAGAGATTTAAGAAATGAATTTCTTGCAGATTGCCTGGCTCACAATTCATAGTTTTGCAGATCCTTAGGCTCCTTTTACACCCCCTTCCACACAACTGCATAAAATCCACATTGAACTGGGTTATATGGCAGTGTGGACTCAGATAATCCAGTTCAGAGCTGATATTGTGGATGATTTGCCTTGATGTTCTGGGTTATACAGCTGTGTGGAAGGGCCCTACACCGCCATATAAAATCCAGATTATATGTCAGTGTAGACTCATATAATAGTTATAATAAATAATAATAATATAATAAATAATAATAAATATAATAAATATATATAAATATAATAAATAATAATAAACCTTTATTTATACCCCGCTAACATATCCCAAAGGACTCAGTGCGGCTTACAAGAGGCCGAGGCCCAACACATCAATAAAACAACAGCATAACAAATACAACAATAAATAAACTCAACTCATAAACCAAAACAATAAACATTAAAAGTTTAAAGCAGATAATCTGGATTATCTCAATTATATGTCAGTGTAGAAGGGGCCTTAAAAATACTAAAGCCCTTTCTACACTGCCATATAAAACCCAGGTTATCTGCTTTGAACTGGAATATCTGATTTGATCATCTAGATTACATTGCTGTGTAGAAGAGGTCTAAAAATGGATCTACACTGCCACATAATTCCATTAATCCAGATAACGCAGTGTAGACTCAAATTATCCAGTTCAAATCCAATTCTCTCACACCAGAGGAAATTTGCAGTTTCTCAAGTCGCCCCTGGCATTTAAAAAATCAAGTTCAAAGCAGATAATGTGGATTTTATATGGCAGTGTAAATGGGGCCTCGATCATCCAGTTCAGAGCAGATAATCTCAATTATCGGCTTTGATAATCTGGATTATATGGTAAAGGTAAAGGTTGTCCCCTGACATTAAGTCCAGTCATATCTGACTCTGGGGTGTGGTGCTCATCTCCATTTCTAAGCCGAAGAGCCGGCGTTGTCCATAGACACCTCCAAGGTCATGTGGCCAGCATGACTGCATGGAGCACCGTTACCTTCCCGCCGGAGCGGTACCTACTCACATTTGCATGTTTTCAAACTGCTAGGTTGGTTTATATGGTAGATGCCCTATATCCCAGGATCTGATCCCAGATTATCTGGAAGTGTAGACTAAGGCCCCTTCTACACTGCCATATAATCCAGATTATCAAATCAGATAATCTACATGATCTGCTTTGAACTGGATTATATGAGTCTACACTGCCAGATAATCCGGTTCAAAGCAGATAATCTGGATTTTATATGACAGTGTAGAAGGGGCCTCATATAATCCAGTCCAAAGCAGATAATCTGGGATCAAATCCTGGGATATAGGATAGTGTAAATCCAGTCAAAATTGTTTTTGTGAAAATTGTCCTCTTTAATAATAATAATAATAATAATAATAATAATAATAATAATAATCCTGCACACTGACCGGCACACTGGGTGCAGTGCCTAAAGACCTTGGCCTGCACTTAAACACAATTGGCACTGACAAAATTACCATCTGCCAGCTGCAAAAGGCCACCTTACTGGGATTTGCATGTATTATTCGCCAATACATCACACAGTCCTAGACATTTGGGAAGTGTCCGATGTGTGATCCAATTCAACAGCCAGCAGAGTGTCTGATGTGGACTCATCTTGTTGTGTTTCAAATAATAATAATAATAATAATAATAATAATAATAATAATAATAATAGTCCTGGAACTGTTGGGAGTTGCAGAGCAGCAATATCTGGAGGGCCACAAGCTGCTAATCTCTTTTCTAAAGGATGGTCAAATACAAAAGAGAGCTAAACCTACTAAAGTTCTCTTTACACCTTCTAATTAAAAAAACAAACTAACACAAATACATCACAACATGTGATTAGATAAATCAGCTGTTTTGCAGAATGTATCCCTTGCCCAAGTTACAGTGTCCAGATAAGGAGATCAGGAAGTTAGCCAGTTCAATACCTGAAGGAACAGTGGCCCAGGGAGAAAGTTGTCAAGTAAATAACTGGTTGTTATTTTTTTTTTCTATCAGGAGTTTCAAACACGCTCTTTTGGAGAGCATCCAATATCCTTCAAAAGTACATAAAGTGCTTTGTTTGATGGAGAAAATACTAAATAAGGTAAATAAACTAAATCTGGCTGGAATTCAAAGGCAAACCACATGCAGGAAGGAATGGGAACTGAACTGAATAATCACTACCTCTGAGGATGCTTGCCAAAGTGCAGGTGAAACGTCAGGAGATAATGCCTCTAGACCATGGCCATACAGCCCGAAAAAACCTACATCAACCCAATGATCTGAAAGGCTAGGATGATGCACTATTCCCATCTAGTGGCAACACAGAAGCAAAGCACAAAGGCAACCCGGCGTAAGAAATAAATGGTCTAAAGCAGGGGTCTTCAGACTTTTTAAACAGAGGGCCAGCTCACAGTCCCTCGAACTGCTGGAGGGCCGGATTACAAATTGGAAAAAAAATGTAATTTGAATTCCTATGCACACTGCACATATCTTATTTGTAGTGCAAGAAACACTTTAAAATGTTGTTGATTCTTTCAGTCGTTTCCGACTTTTCGTGACCTCATGGACCAGCCCACGCCAGAGCTCCCTGTCGGCCGTCACCACCCCCAGCTCCTTCAAGGTCAATCCAGTCACTTCAAGGATACCATCCATCCATCTTGCCCTTGGTCAGCCCCTCTTCCTTTTTCCTTCCATTTTCCCCAGCATCATTGTATTCTCTAAGCTTTCCTTTCTTCTCATGATGTGGCTAAAGTACTTCATCTTTGCCTCTACTATCTTCCTCACCAATGAACAATCAAGATTTATTTCCTGAAGTATGGACTGGTTGGATCTTCTCGTGGTCCAAGGCACTCTCTGAACTTTCCTCCAACACCACAGTTCAAAAGAATATAATACTTAAAATGAAGAACAGTTTTAACAAATATAAATTTATTAGTATTTCAATGGGAAATTTGGGCCTGCTTTTTGGCTGATGAGATAGGATTGTTGTTGTTGTGTGCTTTCGTTTCAGACTTAGGTTGACCCTGAGTGTGGGCTGGGTAAAAGATGTTGGAGGGCCGTATCTAGCCCCCAGGCCTTAGTTTGAGGACCCTTGGTTTAAAGTCTGTATTAACTGGAAACCAACAACAAAGGCCAGATGCTGAAAGATATATTCCAGAAGAAGGCAATGGGACAACCAGCTCTGAGAATACATTCTCCAAGGCCCCTTCTACACTGCCATATAAAAACCAGGTTATCTGTTTTGAACGGTGAGTATCTTGGACTGCGAGAAGATCCAGCAAGTCCATACTCCAGGAAATAAAGCTCACTGGAGGGAAGGATATTAGAGGCAAAGATGAAGTATTTTGGCTGCATAATGAGGAGACAAGAAAGCTTGGAGAAGAGAATGATGCTGGAGAAAATGGAAGGAAAAAGGAAGAGGGGCCTACCAAGGGCAAGATGGATGGATGGTATCCTTGAAGGGACAGGCTTGACCTTGAAGGAGTTGGGGGTGGCCACGACCAACAGGGAGCTCTGGGGTGGGCTGGTCCAGGAGGTAACGAAGAGTCGGAAGCGACTGAACGAATAAACAACTGCATTGAACTGGATTATATGGGAGTGTAGACTCACATCATCCAAAGCAGATAATGTAGATTATCTGGTGTGATAATCTGGATGATATGACAGTGTAGAAGGGGCTTAGCTAAATAGTGTCTGGATTGACCTTGAAGGAGCTGGGGGTGGTGATGTCCGACAGGGAGTTCTGGCGTGGGCTGGTCCATGAGGTCACGAAAAGTCGGAAATGACTGAACGAATCAACAACAACATTTTAAAGTGTTTCTTGCATTACAAATAAGATATGTGCAGTGTGCATAGGAATTCAAATTACATTTTTTTCAAATTATAATCTGGCCCTCCAGCAGTTTGAGGGACTGTGAGCTGGCCCTCTGTTTAAAAAGTCTGAAGAGAAGACCCCTGCTTTAGACCATTTATTTCTTACGCTGGGCTGCCTTTGTGCTTTGCTTCCATTTTACCACTAGATGGAAGCAGTACATTATTCTAGCCTTTCAGATCATTATTCAATTCAGTTCCCATTCCTTCCTGCACATGGTTTGCCTTTGTTTTATCAGGCATCAGCTGTTGCTAGCAATGCAGGTCTTTTCATATGTCTGTTAGGGCACAGAATACTATTGTTTTCACCTTACCCACCAGTCATTTCTAGTGCAAGGAGAAATTGTGACATGGATCCTGCTTCTGATCATTGCACTGGAGATCTTTGGGATTTTTTCTTCAGTGTCAGGAGCGACTTGAGAAACTGCAAGTCTCTTCTGGTGTGAGAGAATTGGCCTTCTGCAAGAACGTTGCCCAGGGAATGCCGGGATGTTTTGATGTTTTACCATCCTTGTGGAGCCCTCGGTGGCGCAGTGGGTTAAACTCCTGTGCCGGAAGGACTGAAGATCGACAGGTCGTAGGTTCGAAACCGGGGAGAGGCGGATGAGCTCCCTCTATCAGCTCCAGCTCCTCATGCGGGGACATGAGAGAAGCCTCCCACAAGGATGGTAAAAACATCAAAACATCTGGGCATCCCCTGGGCAACGTCCTTGCGGACGGCCAATTCTCTCACACCAGAAGCGACTTGCAGTTTCTCAAGTTGCTCCTGACATGACCAAAAAAACCTTATCCTTGTGAGAGGCTTCTCCCATGTTCCCGCATGGGGAACTGGAGCTGATAGAGGGAGCTCATCAGCGCTGTCTCCAGATTCAAACCTCCAACCTGTCAGTCTTCAAGGGTTTAACCCATTGCGCCATCGGAGGCTCCTATCTTTGGGATGGAAACATCACTATGTTGTGCCCAGTCAACAGGAGAACAGACATCAGTGGCTCGCAACAGCTGCTGCCTGGTAAAACAGGACTTCTAACCTTATGGTGATAGTGCCATGATCTTGAATTCATAGTACGGCTGTGCAATCAAGAAAAAATCTTTCATAAGTCATTACAAAATTAGGAGGCACTAGCGTTTTGTTTCTGAAGTGTTTCAAAAGTATAGTTAGTAAAACTTTTGTTACTATAACGAGAAGTGGGGAAACTTCAGAGGCTTCTTTCCCCCTCATTTGACACCTATTGGGGTGAAACTTGCTACAGTGGTAGAACATATTTACCACTGTTAACCATCAAGTTTCAGAACATTTCACTTATCCACGGATTTTTGGGGAATTTTTGAAATTTTTATAAACAACATTTTTAAAACTACAAGAGCAATCTCCTCGAATTTTCCATACAATGACACAAGATAACAGGGGATCATTCTGCCCAACTTTCAGAAATATTCATACATCTACTAATTTTAGGGATATCTTTTAAAGTTTTGACAAAAACATTATTTTAAAAGCCACAACAGCTATCCCATTAAATGTCTCTCATATTAACCAATCAAACTTCCAAGCAGGGATTTCTTCTCAGCCCAGCACTGAGATTTACTTACTAAAAGTATCAGCCCGTCCTCCTCTTTGCAGATTCAACCATTCATTGGAACTCTGGCTGGTTGCTGCGATAGAGGGGCACACCTCTTCCCTCTCCTGACTGGGGCTTTCCAATGCTAAGCAGGATTCTGGGAAATGTAGTTCAGGGCAGGGCCTTTAGCATTCTCTCCTTTCCTTCCCAAACTACATTTCCCAGAATCCTGTGCTCTCTCAGACTCTTTCCCAGTGAACTCTGCTTTTTCCCTGCTGCTTCCCTCCTAATGGCGAGAGACCATTAATCTAAAGAGAAAATGCAGCCTTTTTGGCTTTGCTTTGCTTGCTTGCACCGAACATGAAACTGTCTTTGGGAGGCATCTGAAATATTACAAAATGCAAACAAAAAAGTATTGGGTAAGTTTCAATTCTTAAGTTTTAGATGCAGTCCACGCCCACGTGTCAGATAGTGCTTCGTAAGTATGAATTTAACAAATTTGATATGACTTACGAGGACTAACAAAAATGTACGCCCCTAATACATAGGGATCATGAATATGATGTGTTTCTAGATTATTCATTCTTAACCAGAAGGGACAGAGAGTTTCATCTATGCTGATGATCGTGCCATTACTGCTCAAGCAGGGAGCTTTGAGATGGTTGAACAGAAGCTCTCCGAAGCTCTAGGTGCTCTTACTGCCTATTACAGGGAAAACCAGCTGATCCCCAACCCATCTAAAACACAGACATGTGCCTTTCATCTCAAGAACAGAGAAGCATCCCGAGCTCTGAAGATCACCTGGGAAGGAATCCCACTGGAGCATTGCAGCGCACCCAAATACCTGGGAGTCATTCTGGACCGTGCTCTTACCTACAAGAAGCACTGCCTGAACATCAAGCAAAAAGTGGGTGCTAGAAACAATATCATACGAAAGCTGACTGGCACAACCTGGGGATCACAACCAGATACAGTGAAGACATCTGCCTTTGCACTATGCTACTCTGCTGCTGAGTATGCATGCCCAGTGTGGAACACATCTCACCACACTAAAACAGTGGATGTGGCTCTTAATGAGACATGCCGCATTATCACGGGGTGTCTGCGCCCTACACCACTGGAGAAATTACACTGCTTAGCCGGTATTGCACCACCTGACATCCGCCGGGAAGTAGCAGCCAATAGTGAAAGGACCAAGGCAGAGACATCTCCAGCTCATCCCCTGTTTGGGTATTAGCCAGCACGTCAACGACTTAAATCTAGAAATAGTTTTCTAAGATCTACAGAGACACTCGCTGGAACACCTCAGCAAGCGAGAGTCCAAAAGTGGCAGGCTCAAACCCAGAACCTCAACCAATGCTGATACCAAATGAGAGACTCCCCCCTGGGCACACAGAAGACTGGCAACTTGGAAGGCGCTGAACAGACTGCGCTCTGGCACCACGAGATGCAGAGCCAACCTTAGAAATGGGCTACAAAGTGGAATCCACGACATGCGAGTGTGGAGAAGAGCAAACCACTGACCACCTGCTGCAATGCAACCTGAGCCCTGCCACATGCACAATGGAGGACCTTCTTGCAGCAACACCAGAAGCACTCCAAGTGGCCAGATACTGGTCAAAGGACATTTAATCAACTACCAAACTCACAAATTTTGTATTTTGTCTGTTTGTTTGCTTTGTTCTGTTAGAAATGTAATATAATTGACTGGTTGCCCTGGCACGACAAATAAATAAAAAAATATTCTTAACCATCATAGTAAATTCCAGCCATTTTGTGGGCATACTAGCTGGGAAAGATGAAAGATATAGTTCAGCATATCTGGGGGGCATCAAGTTGTGGAAGCCTGTCTCCATAGCAGGGGGTGGGTAACTGGGACCTTCTGTGTGCTTTTGTCTTACAAGTCCCATCAGCCATGGCAGGTAATGTCAATGGTAAGGGATTAAATGGTAACATCAAAAGATAGAGATAGCCACATTTTCTCATCGTTACTCTACAAGCTCACTTAGGCACATTATTACTCTAACAATATAAGGGAGAGGACATTTGTCACATAAGTAACAGTAAACTGAGGGACTTACCACACTCAGAGTCGTAATAGACTCCATTGGCATAAAACATGAATGACTTGGGAGAAGCATGAATGCTGACTGCTATGGGTCCATTCTTGACGACAGCTTGTTTCAAAGCCATGATATTGCCGTATGGGATGCTGACATATCCTGACACATTACCTAGAAATTCAGATTGATTGTAGTGGCAGTATCCATTCTGGGAGAGAAGAAAAATGAAGGCATTTGAAGTTTATCTGTAGCTACAGATGACTTCCCAAGGCCTCATCAGAAAATGGTCAAGGGATTCAATCCAATCAAGGGCTTCAATCCAATCAAGGGCTTCAATCCAAAGAAAGTTAAATAGACCTAAGTTCCAATGAAATTAGAGGTTTGGGATCCACTCAGTAGAAAACAGGACAATGATCATTGCCAGGTCGAAATATGCCCAGTCTTTTACCTAAGGAATAGACCCCACTGAACTCAGCCCGTTCCTCAGTAGACACATATAGGACTGAGTAGTTAATCTACAGACCTGTATTACTGTGCCACTGAAAGATGGAGCCAAGAATACTTAGACTACAATAATTTTAATATTGCCCTAGTACAGTGTTTCTCAACTTGGGGGGTCGCGAGAGGGTGTCCGAGGGGTCGCCAAAGACTATAAGAAAAAACAGTATTTTCTCTTGGTCATCTGGGTTACGTGTGGAAAGTTAGGTCCAATTCTATTGTTGGTGGGGTTCAGAATGCTTTTTGATTGTAGGTGAACTATAAATCCCAGCAACTACAACTCCTAAATGCCAAGGTCTATTTCCCCCAAACTCCACTAGTGTTCACATTTGTGCCAAATTTGGTTCTGAACCATCACTGTTTGAGTCCACAGATGTAGGTGAACTACAACTCCCAAACTCAAGATCCATGCCCACCAAACCCTGCTAGTGTTTTATGTTGGTCATGGGAGTCCTATGTGCCAAGATTGGTTCAGTTCCATCATTGGTGGAGATCAGAATGCTCTTTGATTGTAGATGAACTATAAATCCCAGCAAGTACAACTCTCAAATGATAAAACCAGTCCCTTCCCCAACCCCACTAGTATCCAAATTTGGGCATATTGGGTATTTGTGCTAAATTTGGTCCAGTGAATGAAAATACATCCTACATATCAGATATTTACATTACGATTCATAACAGTAGCAAAATTACATTTATGAAGTAACAATGAAAATAATTTTATGATTGGGGGTCACCACAACATGAGGAACTGTATTAAGGGGTCGCAGCATTAGGAAGGTTGAGAACCACTGCCCTAGTAGGTGCTGTGCTTACCTGACCACTGTATGGCCCATAGGACTCAGTGCTTGGTACACCGCCATGCTCTTTGGCCCATTTGAAGGCCCGCCATGCAAGGCCACCATCACAGCCAAAATTCCCAAAGCCCCAGGAGCAGTCCATTAGGGCTTGCTGCGACAAGGCCGTCAGCTTTCCTGTCTGCACAGTTGAAGAGAGAGGGTGCAAAGGCTGGCTTAAAGCAAGAATGAGCAACTGAGAGCCCTTCTACAGAGACCCTAAAACACAGAAGTTACTGGGTGGGGTGGGGGGGGGGGCTAAATGAAGTGGCCAGTAAATCCACACTGATTTGCATCAACGGACAAAAAACACGTATTTAAAAAGTTGCACTTATATTCCGATTCTGGCCAGAAAATGTGCATATTGGCATCACTGTATATCCCTGCAGTCATTCAACATATGTGTTTTCCTTCCCTCCCTCCTGTGTAGACTGCTCCAGTGCACGTGCACTTTTAAAAAGCCCCAGACCGCTGATCTGTTGATTGGGCTGTCAAATGGACACACAGGCGGTTCAAGAGAAGCACAAATGGAAAGCAATTAGAACTCTCTGAAACTCTTTATTTTACACTTTATAATCTTAAAGTGTAAAATAATCTTAAAGTGAAAAATCTTCTGCCCTCACGAAGCAAGTGAATATAGCATTAATTGAGACATGTAGAATAATCACAGGATGTCTTAAACCTATACCTGTTGATACTCTATAAGCTAGCTGGCATTGCCCCCCGCCCCCGATGTGCGACGGGAAGTTGCTGCCACTTGCGAGAGAAATAAGGTTGAACATTATGAAAGCCACCCACTGCATGGCTACCAGCCTCATCTCAGTAGACTCAAATCAAGGGAAAGTTTCATGGGAACAACCACTCCTCTTAATGTTTTCCCAGCAACAGCAAGAATATCCCTCTGGGAACTGATTCAAGGAATCCCAACTGGATGCCCCCCCCCCCATGAGGGTTTTCCTCCAGGAGAAAACCAAGAATGGGCAACTTGGAAGTCCTGAACAGACTCAGAAGCGAAGTGGGCAGATCAAAAGACAACCTGGCAAAATGGCACTACCTTGAACAATGGTTCTCAACCTGTAGGCCCCCAAATGTTTTGGCCTTCAACAGAAATCCTAACAGCTGGTAAACTGGCTGGGATTTCTGGGAGTTCTGGCCAAAACACTGGGAGACCTACAGGTTGAAAACCACTGACCTAGAAGAATCCTCTACCTTATGTGACTGTGGAGCAGAACAACTCTGCACCTGTATGCTTGCCCACAACGCCCTGCCTCATGCATAGAGGAAGAATTGTTTAAAGCTACAGACAATGCAGTCGCTGCTGCCTGTTAGTGGTCTAAAACTATCTAGCACAGTGGTTCTCAACCTGTGGGTCCCCTGATGTTTTGGCCTTCAACTCCCAGAAATCCTAACAGCTGGTAAACTGGCTGGGATTTCTGGGAGTTGTAGGCCAAAACACCTGGGGACCCACAGGTTGAGAACCACTGCAGCTTGTGATCCCTTTATTTTATCAGTTTTAGATAAACTATTTCATCAGTTTTAGAAAAATTATTTTATGCAATGCTTCTGACATGAAATAAAAAAATAAAATCTTAAACAGAGCTTGAATTAATAATTTGGGGAAGAGAGCGCTCAAACTGACTTATTTAATTTAATTCCCTCTGTTATGCGCTGGACCTCATATGCGCACATGCAAATCTGCTTGTATTTATATTAACATATTTGCGTGTGGGCACATACAGTCCAGCACATAATGGAATCAATTGGTTTTTTTAAAAACTTCCAGTGGATGTCCCCCAACTGCTCTCCATCTTTTTCTGTTACAGAGGAAGCCTGTGAGGACAGTGGGGGAAGAAATGTCAGAGAAATTTTGGGGGAATATGCACAGCAGAAGAGGCTGCTAGATCAACAGACACAGGACTCCAAAAATCAGAACTCTGCAGTCTTACAGTTTCAAAATAACACAAAGTTTACTAAGCACATCTACACATGTCCATTCTTAGTGGGCAATCATCAGGAACTACAAAGCACAGCACAAACAGTTTCAGACCATCTGCTTATCAGACCTCTGGCTGTAACCGGATACTCCTTCTTCTTCCCACACCCAGAGAACATTTTTATCTCACTTCTGTCAAGGTTACTTTTCTCTCTGCTTCTCACAGTATTTGTAATACACAACTAAACATAATAGAATCCATCTTGAAACACATTTTAATCCATCTTGAATTACATAGAAACACATTGAAAAACACACATGCATAACTCAATAATCCTGACAAGACATCCCAGGACTAATAGGTCTGTGTGCAAACCTGCTTTCAGATCCTGGAATTTTTTGTCTTAGATTTAAAACGTGGGTTTTAGCGCTGTCTGGAAGCGCCCTGAATCAAAGTGAGAATCATTCACCCTCCCTGACACATCCACCATAGTACAAAACCAATGGCATTGCAGTGCTTTCAGGTTCATTTTTGTACAAATTTCCACTGCAGGGGACAACTTGCAGCTTTTTAGGGCGTCCAGTATGGAATGAGCAAAACTATTTTGAGCAATTTTCACTATTTGGGGGAGAGGGTCCCAAGTCAGTCAAAAGTCTCGAGAGGAGTGTTGCCGTTTTCATTTGGCAAAGATTTGGCCCATTGGCTATAGTGGGAAACTCAGTCATTTTGAGGCCTATCTGCAAAAAAACCTACCTCAGCATTAGACCCCATTTACACCTGCAGGCCTGCCAAGTTTCAGAACAATTCACCAATATACTGAATTTGTAGAATTATTTTAAGTTTTAACCATAACATTAAAAAAAATAAGACAAACAGCGAGAGAGGGTACTGGGAACTGTAGCTGCCAGTTGTGTCCATTCTCAGCCAACAGACCTTTTACTAGCTGAGAAACAGAGAGAGAAAAAAACTTCAACTCCCATCATGCTCCAAGAGACTTTTCAATGCCCATCCGATGCAAGTGCTCCTGGGAAAGCGAGTTCCCAGCAGGGCTGCAGAGCCCTCTCTAGAGGAGGAGCCTAGGGAACTTTTCCAAAAGAAATGGGACATTTCGCTGCCGGGGAGGGAGAAAAGACACTGCAAGATTTTCTGTGCCAGACCCCTGCATCAGATATAATAGAAACTTAACTCCATCCTCTCTACTAGCTGATAAATCCGGCTCTCTTGATCCATTTTGCCCAGCTTTTCGGTTCCCACCTCCCCATTCTGTTTTTGGGGGATTGCATAAAATGGACCACCGAAAATTACAAATCACTTTCAGATGAACGGATTTGGGCCCAAGCCTAGAACTGATAGTTAAACATAGTGAATATGGTTAGTTAAAAACCATATACATCAGGCATGGGCAAACTTCAGCATGGGCATGGGCAAACTTCAGCTTTCTAGGTGTTTTGGACTTCAACTTTCACAATTCCTAACAGCCTACCATGCCATACCTACTCTATACAGCAGGGGTCCTCAAACTAAGGCCTGGGGGCCGGATGCGGCCCTCCAAGGTCATTTACCCGGCCCTCTCTCAGGGTCAACCTAAGTCTGAAATGACTTAAAAGCACACAACAACAATAACAACAACAACAACCCTATCTCATCAGCCAAAAACAGGCCCGCCCTTCCCATTGAAATACTAATAAGTTTATATTTGTTAAAATTGTTCATTTTAATTATTGTATTGTTTTTAGTACGACAAATAAGATATGTGCAGTGTCCATAGGAATTCATGCTTTTTTCAAATTATAATCCGGCCCTCCAACAGTTTGAGGGACCGTGACCTGGCCATCTGTTTAAAAAGTTTGAAGACCCCTGCTATACAGTCTTGAAAATCACCATCATGATTTTTTGCAAAGTTTTGCTTACTTGGAGGAAAAGGGCTCCTTCCAAAGTCCCCGTAGCAGCAAAGCTCCAGCAGGAACCACACATGGCCTGATCCTTGACTGGTGTCACTGCACCTGTGGGAAGATGTGGAGGAAATTGGTGGAAAGGGCCATTTTGAGCTATACTCATGGACAAAGCAAGAGGAACAATGGGCCAAAGTGGTATTCTCCACTCTCTTTCAGCCTTTAAGCAAGAGACAGAGCTACAAAGGCCGGACCTCTTTACTGTTGGAGCATATAAGAAATCAGTTAATGTGTATGTGTCAATTGTAAAATAAGATGCATGAAGCTGATTGGTCAAGCTATGCTTTGCTGAGCCTGGGACTTTTGGATACTGTTATGTTTACAGGCATGAGCTATGTAGGTGTTCAGAGAGAAGAGAGAAGAAGAGAGTGACACAGTTTGGAGTGTGTTCTTGCTTCATGAGCTACTGGAGGGAGATATTCCACATGGACAAAAAAAGACAATTTTAAATCTCTCATAAAAGGACATTATGTGAGTCGATGCCACTGATCACATGATTGCAAATATGTTGTTCTGAACTATGAAGAGTAAACTACTTGTTCTTTACTGTTAATCTGCGTGCCATATTTTCTTTCCTGTCAAGGCAGTATGTAGGCTGATGAAACATGAACTACACATGATTTTCATTTCGTCACATTTACCATCCCAACATCATCACAAATAGCACCTGTACCTTTGGAAAAACAAATACATCATGAATAACCTTTTTCCACATTACATTTGACAACAAACTTTTTTTCTTTGGTAGTGCACACCTTTAAAATTGAGATGTGCATTACATTAGATGGTGCATATTATTATTATTATTATTATTATTATTATTATTATGGTATATTTATTTATATCCCGCTTTATCTCTCCCGAAGGAAACTCAAAGCAGCTTAACATAAAACATTAGCATACAATTTAAAATATACACATATGCAAACATGAAAACAGAATTAAATATAAACATATGTAAACATATTATTATTATTATATAATACTCATAAAGTAGTTTAGTTGCAGTTTAAAGGAAGTCTAATTTCCCAACTTTCAAAGGAGGTTTAAAGAGTATTCTGAGCAATCGTTCCAGACGTAAAGGACAGCACAGGGGAACATCCGAGCCCTTCTGAGGAAGCAGGTAATCTTTAGATAGGATAGACAGAAGTAGAGGTAGAAGAATTAATTTCAGGTTTTGCAAAGTTACTTTTTGAGATCTCACCAAGTTCTGAGAATGTTGTATGTCAGCCTGATCAGCCTGTGGTTGTGTCTGATGTTCATGATGGGAATGGGGATGATGTTCCTGATGGTGGGTCTGGATCTGTTGGCAGTGGGAATGAGGGTTTGTCTGGGCCTGCGTTAAGCTCAGATGAGAGGCCCAAGCTGACTCAGAAAGATTCAAAAGGCCACATTCTTGGGAGAGTCCCTTCACACTCTTTCTCAGAACAACTGTCTGAAGATGATTTGTCAGGTGCAGAAGTTAATGAGAGTCAAGATAGCAAGGTTTTTGTAAACAGAGGCTGAGTGTTCACAGGCAAAGATGATCAGCTTGTTTACAGGGAAAGACAAATAAAAAGCCATTGTAAGGTCAATACTTTCAGTTTTGGGATCTGGAAAACTTTTATATTGATTCATGGGGAAAAGTTGCCTCAGTCGGGTCAACATTGGAATTTCATGATGGTCTTGCTTTTTAGTGCTCTTAATTTCATGTACAAGCTCCAGATTTGTTTACTGGATTTTTCCTGCTGCCGTGTTTCATGGATTTTATATACCTATGGATCTTGATTTCCCTTGAAGCTTATGGACTATTCTATGTTTTGGAACTTTACAATTTTTGCTAATTTTACTGCTTTGCCTACATATATTCTTCAATAAACAGATGTGGTGTTTAAGGTCAGAGATACATCAGTATATAAGTACAAGCATGCACAAAATCATGGTGAGCCGTGAAGGTAATGCCAACTTACTTGGATCGTGTCCATGGGCATAGTTTGAGTGGGCATAGAAAGGACATAGAGGACAATGATGGGCAACTTACCGTACAGTCTCCAGTCAAGGCTTTCGGGAAGGATAATGCTAGAATACAGCTCCAAGGGGAAAGGCTCTCCATCGTTGGGTGTCTTGTCTTCCAGCAACCCTTTCATTGCAGCCAGTTCTTCTGGGGTGTGATCAGCCAAGTGGTTCAGTGTCAGTTTGAAGGACAGGTTGGCTCGATTCTTGGAGTGGACAAACCTAAATGGAGGAAGGATGCAATGAAGGGTAGAGAGAAAATCCTGCTGCAGTCAAACTTTAGGAGCTGACAGATATGGATACCATCTATTTCATAGGATTGTTGTGAGCATAAAAAGGGGGAAACATATCAAAGCATGTTTGGTCGCCAGCCATGGAACTCCTTAGAACAGTGGTTCTCAGCCTGTGGCCCCCTGGTGTTTTGGCCTACAACTCCTAGAAATCCCAGCCTGTTTACCAGCTATTAGGATTTCTGGGACTTGAAGGCCAAAACATCTGGGAACCCACAGGTTGAGAACCCCTGCCTTAGAAGAATAGAGGAATAAGATTTTTATAAATAAATATAATAATGCCTTAATATGAAGCTGATTTACGTCACTTTTCATTGGTGGCCTTTTTATTTCAGTTTGGAGATGATCTGGCCACATTTATTCACAAAATGAATGAAGGAAAGGTGTTTTATGTATGTTTTGGGGCACTTTCATCTTCAGTCATTAGTGGGTGACATAATCCACAGAAATTTTGAAAGTGGACTTCTATGAAGGACTAACTCTGAAACAATTTATGGAGATCCAGATGGTGAACAGAAACTCTAATTACTAACAAGGGTTGGAGGGAGCGGAAGTTAAACATCTGAAAAAAATACAAGTTGTTTCAAAGCAGGCTAGACAATTACTTCTATGTGAACTTCCTTCACATCAAAGCTCTCCATCCCACAGAAACAGTTCTCTAGAGAAGTGGTTCTCAACCTTTCTAATGCCGTGACCCCTAAATAAAGTTCCTCATGTTTTGGTGACCCCCAACCATATTTTCGTTGCAACTTCATAACGGTAATTTTGCTACTCTTATGATGCATAATGGAAATATCTGATATGCAGGATTATTTTCATTGTTACAAATTTAACATAATTAAAGCATAGTGATTGATCACAAAAATAATATGCGCGGGGAGTATGGACAATGGATGATAGGATTTGAAGTATCTTCAACAGATTCAGCTCTGACTTCCTCAGACCACTGAGACCCTCACAAATTATAGACCTGGAACAAACTTGGCACACAGAACTCCCATGACCAACAGAAAATACTGGAGGAATTTGGGAGGAATTGACTATGATTTACGGGATATGTAGTTCACCTACATACAGAGAGCACTGTGAACCCAAATAACTGTACATTTGGACCAAACTTGGCACAAATACTCAATATGCCCAAATTTGAACACTGGTGGAGTTGGGGGAAAACAGATCTTGACATTTGGGAGTTGCAGTTGCTGGAAATGGCAGCGCTGTGAGGGCAGCCCTCCGCCTCCCCCCCCCTGCACCCTTCCCAGCTGGGAAAGGCATGGGGGTCGGGCAGAAAGGCTGCCCAAATGGCAGCGCCATGAAGGCAGCCCTCTGCCCCCCCCCCCTGCAGCCTTCCCAACTGGGAAAGGTGTGGGGGTCGGGCAGAAAGGCTGCCCAAACGGCAGGGCCGTGAGGGCAACCGTCCGCCTGGCCCCCGAGCCCTGCTGTAATGGCAAGGTGAACCTTCTTCCCACTCGCACCTTTTCCTGCAAGCTCCTCTTCACGCACCACACAGCCCTGTGGGAAGAGCAGGAGGAGGAGCTGATCCAGAGTGCTAGCTTTTTGGCTGGTACAGGGGGTCGGCAGCCATTTCAGAGGGGGCGGGGCCATCCAAGGCACCTTCGCGACCCCCCAAAAATGGCCCAACGACCCCCCTGGGGGTTGCGACCCCCAGGTTGAGAACCACTGCTCTAGAGTCTCTGGGAAGATCCATGAAAGCACTTGGGAGGCTTAATCCTGGGTACAGCTTCCAGGCTAATGGGGCCACAATAACACAGCAGGTTAAACCGCCAGCTGCAGAAAAAAACGTGCCAACTGGGGTGAGCTCCTGCTGTAAGCCCTAGCTTCTGCCAACCTAGCAGTTCAAAAAAAATGTGAGTAGATCAATAAGTACTGCTTTGGTGGGAAGGTAAAAGGTGCCCATGCAGACATACTGGCAATTCGATCAAGAAGGCGTCGACAGACAACAGGCTCCTTGCCATGGAAAATGGAACAAGAGCACCTTTCCACAGTCAGAGTTGAGCACAGCCTCCAGATGAAAAGGGGTAAGTCTTTACCTCTGCCTGTGTACTATCTGTCTTTGTTGTCAATTGTATAACGGCACTGAATGTTTTCCATGTATATATTCTGTAATCCGCTCTGAGTCCCCTCGGGGAGATAGAGCAGAATATAAAGATGATGGTGATTATGAGATAGTTATTATTTGGCAGCCAATGTAAGAAATAATGTGGAGCGAAATAATAAAACCTTAAAGAAACTAAAGATGGAGATACCAGTAAATGTATTTTATGAGAGCAAAACTCCAAAGATCCTGCATGCTGACTGGTGGGAGTCAGGTGAGTTTCAGTTTACCAAAAGTAGGTTTTCCAAAGCTCTGTGATGGCAACCTTTCTTTTATAGCATTTTGTCCTAATTCCTTCTTATTTTTAGGTCTCTCATTCCATTTTTTTTTAAAAAAATATTTAACCTCAGAAGTCAAGATCACACGCAAGCACCACCATAATCTGTTTCCCCATACCTCATATTGTGGATGAAGGTGTTTGCTCTCTGTTCAATTTCCTGCTCCGAAATATACGTCTTCTTGTACTTCTTCCTATAATGGTGGAAGAGCCCATGGCCCCTGTCCACTCCTTTTGAGACAAAATCTTGCATTGGGTTGGCCAGGATGAGGTGCTCATCTCTTTGCCCAGGTGGTGTCTTGCATTTCACTTCTATAGTTAAATGAGATGAGAACAAGTCTTTCAGAATTTGATTTGGCCAAATTTGGCACAAATACCCGATATGCCCAAATTCGAATACTGGTGAGGTTGGGGGGGGGATTGGTTCTGTCATTTGGGAGTTGTAGTTGCTGGGATTTATAGTTCATCTACAATCAAAGAGCATTCTGAACTCCACCAATGACGGAAATGAACCAAATTTGGCACACAGAACTCCCATGACCAACAGAAAATACTGGAAGGGTTTGGTGGGCATTGACCTTGAGTTTTGGAGTTGTAGTTCACTTACATCCAGAGATCACTGGGGACTCAAACAGTGATGGATCTGGACTAAACTTGGCATGAATACTCAATATGCCCAAATGTGAAAACTGGCAGAGTTTGGGGAAAATAGACCTTGACCTTTGGGAGTTGTTGTTTTTGGGTTTTGTAGTTCACCTACAATCAAAGAGCATTCTGAACCCCACCAACAATCAAATTAGGCCAAACTTCCCACACAGTTGCCCCCATACCTTGAAGGGACTCGTTGGCACAAGCCTCTACCACAACTATAGACAGCAATGCAGTTCAGAGGATACAAGAGTCATACCTTTCGGCAGGTCCAGCACACTGGGCAAGAAGCTGTGGGAGAATCCATGATAATCAATGTTGTATTTGTCATAATGGGATCCCATAAGGTTGTTGAGGCCTCTCATCTCGTAGCGTACGGGGACTGACCCATTTTCAGAATTGGAAACCCACAGGGTGTAGATGTTTTTCTTGGTGCCCCAATAGGTCACATTCTGCCACACGCTACAGTCCAGGCCTTTGTAGTTTTCCTTCCGGACGGGCTGGAAAGGTTGAAGAGGAAAGGGAAAACACAAGAATTAAGCAAAGGTCAGCTGGAAAGGTGAGTCAATTGTTGCCAAATCGATGTGAAGTTTAATAAAAGGTGCTGAAGTAGTTCAGCCTCTGAAGAAACCTTCCCAACATGACTCCCTCTAGATGATGTTGTTCTGTTGCTGTTATGTTAGGTGATCCCTTGTAGCCCGAGAATGATGGTCCTCCAAGTGTAGTGTCTTGGCGATGGGTCCGTAGGTAGCTGTGGAGCCCTATTCTTGATCCGCTTGTTCTCCCGCAGTGAAGACATTGGTTTCCAGACAGAAGGCAGTCCCGATCAGGGTTAGCTTGACACACCTTCCTCTTGGCATGTTTCTCCTTTTCGCCCTCCATTCATACCTCTTCAAATTCTGCGGCACTACTGGTCACAGCTGAACTGCAGGTAGAGTGCTCTAGGGTTCCCAGATGATGTTGACTTATGGGTTTATTTACATTGTTAAATTAATGCAGTGTGATCCCACTTTAACTTCCATGGTTCAGTGCTCTGGAATCATGGATTTGTAGTTTGGTTAGAAACCAACAATCTGGCAGATAAGGCTAAAGACCTTGCAGAACTGCAAGTCCTGTGATTCCATAGCACTGAGCCATGACCATTAAAAAGTGGAGTCAAACTGCATTAATGCTATAATGCACAAGCACTCTATACCGAAAGAGCCTGGAAGTAACAAGTTACAAACAACAAATTATTACATATAATGTATTTATTTTCCCAGGAATAAAATGATAACTTAAGGAGACCACTTTTTTCTCAGTAAAACTACAATGAAAGCTCATGCTAAAAGAAAAATCAGTTTGATTTAAGGGTGCTACTACATTCCTTCTATCCCCCCCCCCCTTCATAGAATCATAGAATCCTAGAATTGGAAGAGACCTGGTGGGCCATCTAGTCCAACCCCTTTCTGTCAAGAAGCTGGAAAATCATCTTCAAATCACCCCTGACAGATGGCCATCCAGCCTTCGTTTAAAAGCCTCCAAAGAAGGAGCCTCCACCACACTCCGGGGCAGAGAGAGATAGAGTTCCACTGCTGAACAGCTCCCTCTCACAGTTAGGAAGTTCTTCTTCATGATAAGGTGGAATCTCCTTTCTTTCCTGTAGTTTGAAGCGATTATTCCATTGCATCTTAGTCTCCAGGGCAGCAGAAAACAAGCTTGCTCCCTCCTCCCTAGGACTTCCCCCTCACCTTTTGATCCATGGCCCTCATCATGTCTCCTTTCCGCCTTCTCTTCTACAGGCTAAACATGCCCAGCTCTTTTAGCCGCTCCTCATAAGGCCTGTTCTCCATACCCTTGATCCTTTGAGTCACCCTCCTCTGGACACAATCCAGATTAGAGTCAACATCTCCGTTCAATTGCGGTGCCCAGAAATGGCCTTTAACTTCTGTATACTGGACACAATCACCAACAGTACCAAATGTCTTCTCAATCTGTGTTTAGAAACAATAGTGGAACTTTCTGGAGCCTCTAAGGAAGCACATACTTTTACTGCTTTAAAGAAACTCTGGCTTCAGGTAAAGTGGTCTGACCAAGGCAGAATAGAGGGGGAGCATGACTACCCTGGATCTAGGCACTAGGCTCCTCTTGATGCAGGCCAAAATCCCACTGGCTTTTTTTTTTTTTTTTTTTTTTTTTTTTTTTTTTTTTTTTTTTTGCTGTTGCATCACATTGTTGGCTCAGGTTTAACTTGTTGTCCACGAGGACTCCAAGATCTTTTTCACACATACTGCTGTCAAGCCATGTGTCCCCCATTCTGTATCTTTGCATTTCATTTTTTTCTCCCTAAGTGGAGTATCTTGCATTTGTCACTGTTGAACTTCATTTTGTTAGTTTTGGCCCATCATATCTCTAATCTGTGAAGATCGTTTTGAATTCTGCTCCTGTCTTCAGTATTGGCTCTCCCTCCCAATTTGGTCCTATCTGCAAACTTGATGATCCTGCCTTCTAACCCTTCCTCTAAGTCATTAATCAAGATCCTGAACAGAACCGGGCCCAGGATGGAACCCTGCTGATGACACTCCACTCATCACTTCTTTCCAGGATGAAGAGGAAGCATTGGGGAACTTCTTCTTTCCTTCCTTCTTCTTCTTAAGCAGTGCAAGTGTCTCACATTTTTAAACACATTAGGTATATTCGACTAAGCATGAGAGAAGCATTCATGTAATAGTTTAGATCAGTGGTTCTCAACCTGGGATCCCCAGATGTTGTTGGCCTACAACTCCCAGAAATCCTAGCCAGTTCACCAGCTGTTAGGATTTCTGGGAGTTGAAGGCCAAAAACACCTGGAGACCCCAGGTTGAGAACCACTGGTTTAGATCATGATGAATATCCCCATCTCTAGTACTACCGACACCATCTCTACCACTACTGGCCTATAACTTACTGCAACTTAATTATATAACACATTTAAAGCCAATATAGAACCAGCTGACACTATTCAACTCATGAGTTCAGGAAACATCTATTTCATTAAGACGAAAAGTGAGAAGAAGACACACAAAAGGGTTTTTAAAGGTCATAGTGGTTATTGTCTATAAAATTCACCATATGAAAGTCATTAGGACATTCAGTCCGGCTTCATCAGCGCCATATCCTACATGTATCATCTTTGCTACCTGTAATAATTATATTGCCCTTGTAGTTGAAAGCGCATGAAAATATCTCATCATTATGACCTTCTAGTATTTGAATGCATTGCCTGGTCTGTGGGTCCCAAAGTCGAGCTGTCTTATCGGAACTGGCTGTAAGAATACGACTGCCTTGAGGATTGAAGCAGATCTTTGAAAGATTCCAACTGCGCCACCTGAAAATTGGCTTAGGTGTGGAGAGATCATCCCTGTCAGCTGCAGTGAGAGTAGAGATGGGAGTACCCCCAATTTCCACCATAATCCTGAAGAGGCAGATCAATTGGTGGCACAAAATAAGACAAATGCAACCACACAGACTCTCAGCCATATGCCTTCTTGAACAAGAAAACCACAAAGAGTGGTCATCTTGGCTTAGCAGATTTGATCACACAGTCAGTAGGTTAGGTTTTGCACCCCACGAGTTAATAAATTTTGGGGCAAACATATGCTCAATTGTATATCAAAGAGCCCTTGACATTGCTGCACAAAATGATCTAATGATCATAGCGCAAGCTAGAGCCACTCCATACCTGGCCAAATTTAAATGTAACGTGGGCATGGAACCTTACCTCTCTTTTATACTCCCACTATATATTAGAAAACGTTTTACGCAGGCTAGATTTGAGCAGCTCGACATTAAGTCCAAGTTGGGATGGCATCAGAATATTCCCTACACAAGGAGAACCTGTGGGTGCCGTGAGGTAGATGCAGAAGTGGAGGACTCAGAACATTTTTTCTTAAAATGTCCCTACTACAATAAGATCCGGTCTTACTACCTTGAGCCTCTGCTGGAGAATCATACTCATTTAGAGAATAAAGAGAAATTGCACATCCTCCTACAGGGTTCAGATAAAAACTATTTTAAAATTGACCCTGGTTCAAGATTGGGAAAGGCGTACGGCAAGGCTGCATACTATCACCCAACCTTTTTAACTTGTATGCAGAACACATAATGCATTGTGCGGGGCTTGATGAATGCAAGGCTGGGGTGAAAATTGCTGGAAGAAACATTAACAACCTCAGATATGCAGATGACACCACTCTGATGGCCGAAAGCGAGGAGGAGCTGAGGAGCATTCTAATCAAGGTGAAAGAAGAAAGCGCAAAAGCCGGGTTGCAGCTAAACATAAAAAAACCAAGATTATGGCAACAAGAATGATTGACAACTGGAAATAGAGGGAGAAAATGTGGAGGCCGTGACAGACTTTGTATTTCTAGGTGCAAAGATTACTGTAGATGCAGACTGTGGCCAGGAAATCAGAAGACGCTTACTTCTTGGGAGGAGAGCAATGTCCAGTCTCGATAAAATAGTAAAGAGTAGAGACATCAGACTGGCAACAAAGATCCATTGCCTAGTCAAAGCCATGGTATTCCCTGTAGTAACCTACGGATGTGAGAGCTGGGCCTTAGGGAAGGCTGAGCGAAGGAAGATCGATGCTTTTGAACTGTGGTGACCTTGCAGAGAGAGGTGACCTTGCTACGATCAACAAAATTCAAACTTAAAAACTTAATATAGACATACCATTAGTTTTACCTACCCGCGCCCCTGCCCAAACCCTACTTTAAGGAATGAATCAATTTTAATCTTTTAATTTTTTTTTATCTTGTAGTTGCACAATCATTTAGAAGTGGGTTGACAGGCCAGTAGGTCGGGATGCCTTGTATTCATATATGGTTTTACTGTATGTATGGGCAATTATGTATGTTTTTGTATGTTTTGCATGTTTTGATATGGTCAAAATTGACTAATCAATAAAGAATTGTTGTTGTCTCAAATTTTAGTTCCTTTTGTATAGTTACAGGGGTAACCATATAAATCCAGGATATGAAGGTTTCAAAGTGTCTTGATCTATCTTCTTAGTACTTACTGTGGGGTTAATAATCAATTTTAAAATATCTCTCTTAAACACCATGAGTTTTTGGAGGGGAATTCTGTAGGTAAAAGACTCACCCTAAATCCATCCATATTAGGGAACACACTTTGAGGCGCAACAGGACTTTCTGCAGTGCCGTTGATTTGGAAGCACATCCGGACATTCACTTCTGTTTCTGTGGTTTCTGGAGTGATCTTATAATTGACACCCCATGGGCCATCAGTCTCCATCTGATAGGTGACAACTTGTCCTGGATCACAGAATGTGCAAAGGACAGTTTGAGAGGAAAGAAAAAATAAGGAAGGCCTTCATTTTCTGTTCAGGAAAGTAACTCCTGGATTCCAAGATAACCTCATCACACTGAGAAATTTCCCAGTCATAGGACACTTCAGCCTCTTTTCAAGCACGGAGAGGCACGGAGCTCATCACATGAGTTGAACTACTTCTGGCCGTCATGCATAGCCTTCTGTGGTTGGAAAGAGGCAGAAGTGTCCTGAAAGGAGGGAACTCCAGAAATTGACTTCAGTATCACATTAAGACATTTCCACCTGGGAGGACACTTCAGCCTCTTTTCAAGCATGGAGAGGCATGGAGGTCATCACACAAGTTAAACTACTTCCGGCCATCATGAACAGTCCTCCATGGTTGGAAAGAGGCAGAAGTGTCCTAAAAGGAGGAAACTCCACAATTGACCTCTTCTTTTGCTCTAGAAACAAGTCTCATGAGGATGATATGCCTTAAAGCAGGGGTCCCCAAACTACGGCCCGTGGGCCGTATGCAGCCCACCGAGGCCATTTCTCCGGCCCGCGCGGCCAGGCCTGGCCTGGCCATGCACACCCGGCGCCGCTCCGCCAATGGCGGAAATCCTCTGCTCCGGCCGCTCTGCCTGAGTGGGAGGGAGCAGCCTCCCAGATGGGTGCTCTGCAGAGCAGAGTGGCCGGAGCAGAGGTTGTCCGCAATGGGCGGAGCGGCGCCGGGTGGGCGTGGCCAGGGAACACCGGCGTTCCCTGGCCACGCCCACCCGGCCCTCCGCCCATGGTGGACAACCTCTGCTCCGGCCACTCTGCTCTGCAGAGCACCCATCTGGGAGGCTGCTCCCTCCCACTCAGGCAGAGCGGCCAGAGCAGAGGATTTCCGGAGCATTTGCGGAGCAGCGTCGGGTGGGCGTGGCCAGGGAAGCCGGCGTTCCCTGGCCACGCCCACCCGGCGCCATTCCGCAAATCGCGGACAACCTCTGCTTCGGCTGCTCTGCTCTCCGCGGCCACTCCCAGCCGCACCGGGAGAACAAGCCCCCGGAGCACCGCTGTTTTGCACTCTTTGATTGCAGGTGAGCTATAAATCCTAGCAAAAACAACCCCCAGACGCCACCAGTGTTCACATTTGGACATATTGAGTATCAGTGCCAAGTTTGGTCCAGATCTATCACTGAGTCCACAGTGATTTATGGAGGCAGGTGAACTACAACTCCAAAACCAAAGGACACTGCCCACCAAACCCTTCTAGTATTTTCTGTTGGTCATGGGAGAACTGTGTGCCAACTTTGGTTCAATTCCATTGTTGATGGGGTTCAGAATGGTCTTTGATTGTAGGTGAACTACAAATCCCAGCAACTACAACTCCCAAATGTCAAGATCTATTTTTCCCAAACTCCACCAGTGTTCAAATTTGGGCATATTGAGTATTTGTGCCAAGTTTGATCCCGATCCATCATTGTTTGAGTCCACAATGATCTCTGAATGTAGGTGAACTACAACTCCAAAACGAAAGGACACTGCCCACCAAACCCTTCCAGTATTTTCAGTTGGTCATGGGAGAAATGTGTGCCAAGTTTGGTTCAATTCCATCATTGGTGGGGTTCAGAATGCTCTTTGATTGTAGGTGAACTATAAATCCCAGCAACTACAACTCCCAAATGACAAAATCATTTTTTTTGAGTGAAGGACATACATTGGGTTGTTAGGTGTCTTGTGTCTAAAATTGGTGTCAATTCGTCCAGTGGTTTTTGAGTTCTGTTAATCCCACAAACGAACATTACATTTTTATTTATATAGAAGTGTGGGTCTTTGTTTTTTGATTGGGGGGGGGGTTGCACTGCAAATAATATATGTGCAGAGTGCATAGGAATTCATTCATGTTTTTTTTTTTCAAATTATAATCCGGCCTTCCAACAGTTTGCGGGACTGTGACCCGGTCCTCTGTTCAAAAAGTTTGGGGACCCCTGCCTTAAAGGAAGGAATTCCCATCTTCCTTACCATGGTAGTACTGAATGCAGCTCTTCTTCGCAGTCAGGTTGTACCAGGCTTCAAAGGGCTCCTCAATCTCAGCAAAGGGCAGTTGGATAGTTCCTAAAGAATGAAAATACTGGTTAAGACTTTTTATATAAGCCAGGGGTTCTCGAACTTTTTAAGCAAATGGCTGCTACACAGACTGTTGGGCGACCGGGCTCTAACTTGAAAAAAACATTATTCCTATGCACTGAAGACATCATATTTTTAATGCAAAAAGTTACATGTTTGGACTCTTGCCCCCAGAATCCCCCACCTAGTAGAGGCAGTGTCCACACCGTCTGGGAAAATCTGAAAATCTTAGCTACAATTTCCAATAAGCAATTTTTCCAAACTCTAGCATTTCATTTCCCTCAAACTTATAAATTCTATCACTTATTACATCTCTCTATTATAATCTATAAATGTATAAGTTTTCTCTACCTTTTATACAAGCTATAAAACTCAAATGTTTGTTACAACTGGAATGAAAAAGAAGCTAACAAAAACCAACAGCATGAGAAATAAACAAGATAAACTCAAACACTTAACACAAGAAAGGTACCCATAATTTCACATTGCTGTAACCCAATATTATGAGTCTCATTAGTAATCCAGTAGTAGTCTGAGGCCATGGTAGCACAGCGGGTTAAACCTCTAGCTGCAGAAAATCTGCTGACCGGAATGTTGGTAGTTCGAAGCTGAGAGCCAGGCTGCGTTCCCAACTGTCAACCCTAGCTTCTGCCAACCTAGCAGTTCAAAAGCATGCAATGCGAGTAGATCAATAGGTACCACTTTGTCAGGAAGGTAAAAGGGTGCCCCATGCAGATACAACACGATCAAAGAAGTCTATAGACAACAGGTTCCTCGGCATGAAAAAATGGAACAAGAGCACCTCCCCATAACTGGAGTTGATTCTCACTTCCAAATGCCGGAGATGGAAAAAGGGGAAACCCTGTGTATATTATAATCCACTCTGAGTCCCTCCGGGGATATAAAGCAGAATATAAATAAAGTGTATTATTATTATTATTATTATTATTATTATTATTATTATTATTATTATTATTATTATATGCCATGGTTACTACAGGGTTAAGGTTTTCCAAATATATAGATCAAAAGGAAAGGGCAAGAAGGACAAGAAATAGAAATGAAAATCAGGGATAGGTGCAGCTTTGTAGAGACTGATGAGTAAAAACTAAAGGGAAGGAAGACAAGTGGGTCATCATAGCAAAGGTCTATTATATACCCACAACTGAGATTCAAGATTAAATGTTGCCAAATATTCAAACAGGAGAGATATAGGGGACTTCAATCACTAGGGTAATTTTTTAAACTCAAATTCTGCACAGAATGTATAGCCCAGCAAATTCCTTACTTCCCCTCATGACTATTTTATTATCCAAAACAAGCAGGAGGCAGCAATGAAACCAATTATTTTGAACTTAAACTTAAGCAATTGAACAAAAGAACTGATATATGAAAACCATGGGCAGGAGCAATTGTGGCCTCTTCGGATTCGTTATGCAAGGGAAAGGATAAGAGAAACAAAGTTGGATATTCACTTTGGATTTTAAGAAGCCGATTTCAGTAAGTTTAAAGAGAAAGTAAAAAAAAAACTGAACTTCAGAATGAGGTTGTTACAGAAATTAAACAAAAATTAACCACATTTTAAGAAGGATATTGGCAAGTTGGAATGTATCCAGAGGTAAGCCACCAAGATGGCATAACATCAGGGGCTGCTCAACCCATTACACAAAGTAAGCATTTGCAGTATAGTTGATTTTGCCCAGGGGCGCTCTTGAGGCACTCTTGGGGGAAAATAGACCTTGATGTATGTGAGTTGTAGTTACTGGGATGTATACTTCATCTACAATCAAAGAGCATTCTGAACTCCACCAATGATGGAATTAAACCAAATATTGCTCGCAGAACTCCCACGACAAACAGAAAATATATATCAGTGATTGGTTGGGGGGGGGGGCAAAATACTCTTTGCTTACCATTGAAAATTACCTAGGGCCGCCTCTGCATAACATCTGGAAGCTAAATCCTCTGAAGAACAGATTGTGTTGAGCTTGGAAAAGAACAGAGTGTGTTGAGCTTGGAAAAGAGAAGGCTGAAAAGTGATACGATAACCACCTTTAAATATCTAGAACAGAGTTTCTCAACCTGGGGGTAGAGACCCACAGAGGGGTTGTGAAGGGGTGGCAGAGGGGTCGCCAAAGACACAGTATTTTCTGTTGGTCATGGGGGTTCTGAGTAAAAAGTCTGGCCCAATTATATTGTTGGTGAGATTCAGGATACTCTTTGATTGCAGGTGAACTATAAATTCCAGCATCTACAACTCCCAAACATCAAGTTTGTTTTCCCCAAACTCCACCAGTATTCATATTTGGGCATATTGAGTGCTTGTGCCAAGTTTGGTTCAGATCCATCGTTCTTTGCGTCCACAGTGGTCTCTGGATGTAGGTGAACTACAACTCCAAAACTCAAGGTCAATGCCACCAAAGTCTTGCAGTATTTTCTGTCGGTGATGGGAGTTCTGTGTGCCAAATTTAGTTCAATTCCCTCATTGGGGGAGTTCAGAATGCTCTTTGATTGTAGGTGAACTATTCACCCCAGCAACTACAACTTGGGGGTTACTCAGAACCCCCATGACCAACAGACCCAAATGACAAAATCAATCCCCTCCAAACCCACCAGTATTCAAATTTGGGCATATTGGGTATTAGTGCCAAATTTGGTCCAGTGAATGAAAACACATCGTCATATCAGATTTTTACATAACAGGAGCAAAATTACAGTTATGAAGGATCAACAAAAATAATGTTATGGTTGGGGGCCACCACAACATGAGGAACTGTATTAAGGGGTCGCAGCATTAGGAAGGTTGAGAAACATTGATCTAGAAGGATGGCATGCACTGCAGAAGATGGATTAAGCTTGGTTTTTTTGCTGCTCTGGAGAATAGGACACAATCTACCAGTTCAAATTAAAAGGAAAAGACAGTGGAGCAGACTACATCAGAGGGTGAGGGATTCTTCTTCATATGTCTCTACAGAGAATTTGAATGGACAGCTTTCAGGAGTGTTTTACTTGTATTTCTACTTAACAGAAGGTGTGAATAAATCAGGGGTCCTCAAACTAAGGTCCAGGGGCCAGATACGACCCTCCAAGATCATTTACCCGGCTCTTGCTCAGGGTCAACCTAAGTCTGAAATGACTTGAAGGCACACAACAACAACAACATTCCTATCTCATCAGCCAAAAGCAGGCCCACACTTTCCATTGAAATGCTAATACGTTTATATTTGTTAAAATTGTTCTTCATTTTAATTATTGTATGTTTTCAAGAAGATATGTGCAGTGTGCATAGGAATTCATTCATGATTTTTTCAAATTATAATATGGCCCTCCAACAGTTTGAAGGATTGTGACCTGGCCCTCTGTTTTAAAAGTTTGTGGACCTCTGGAATAAATTATGCTTATGATTGTGCAACGCAACAATTTTATGACTCTAAAAAGAAAACACAGGGGAGTGACACTATGGATAAATCTTGATTATTGCTGAAATATTATTTCCTCCTTTTACTTTACAGTAGGGTTGCGTGCAGAACCATTTTCCTATGTTACATTTGTTCTTTCGTTACTTTTGTTACCTTCAGGAGCACGTAATTGGAAGCCCCCTTCTGGTACGAAAATCAGCCCGACACGAAAGCAAGCGGGAGCCGGTCCTGGCTCCTCGACTGCTTTTTGTGAGCAGCCTCCTTGCCTTGGAAAGAGTGCGTGTGTGGTGTGCAGGCCCAGAAAGCACCTGAATCTTGCCTGCAGTCGAGCGCCTCCTCTACAGTAGAGAAACTGAACTTTCCTTGGAAAAGATGTGTGTGTGGCATGCAGGCCCAGAAAGTGTGCATACCTGCCTGCGGCCGAGCACCTCCTAAAGTAGACAAACAGGTAAGAAGCCTCCTTAAAGTGTGAACCTACCAGCAGCTGAGCATCTCTCCTCTAGAGTAGAAACAGCTTAAAAGCCTAAAACGATAGGAAGGTGAGCCTGGGAAGCCCCTCCTCCCATCATGGGCTGATAGAATACGGATCTTTTGGTACCCCAGAATGAAAACAGATATCTCCTTTCCCAATTTTGGGAGGCTCCCAAAAAATGGATCCAGGCCCGCACTGAAAGCCGAGACACAAAACGGGTCAAGGTTTACCCCGAATGCACAACCCTACTTTTTCCGGTAAAATATTACTGTGTTGGCATTTGGAAAATTGTATTCCATACTCTGAATGACTACTTTGAGAAATATTGATGCATAATACAATTCAAAATCGCATGCTTCTTGTTCTGTCACGCGCTGGGCCTGTAATAATTGACTTTTGAAATAGGACATGCACCTTGTGCCCAGCGGGAAGCCAGGGGCGCCTCGAAAGAGGCCTTTAAGGATTTTCCTGTAGAGAGTGTTTAGAGTCTTTAATGTTGTAACAAAGTCCTTTATTATTGAACAAATCCAACAGATATTTCTCAAATCTTCAATAGGTCAAACAAATCCTTCAAGGCTTTGAATTAACTGGTGGCTTCCTTAATCTTGTCCACGAGGGACAGGCAACTGTCTTCATTAACTGTTCCTTTACTTTAGAGGAAAACCCTTTTTTAACCTCTTCCAGGCTGACTATAATCTAATCCTTACTGATGTGGGTCCTACTACCGGATTCAAACTGCGTCTTGAGCACCGAGTAGACCTACCAGTAAAGGCTTGCAGATTCTCCAGCTGGAGTTCTCTGGGTCTGTAAAGCTGTTTTCCCTCCAGAATGTCCCTGGAATTTCCTGGACTTCAGTTTCCCTGGATGGTCTTAAGAAATTAAGCTTTTGTGCAGGTGAAGCTTGTCCATGTCCTCTAACTTAGCTTTCCTCACTAAGACTAACTAAAAATGGCTCCCTCTTCCCTTCCCATCTCCCTGGGAGAAGGGGCGGATCCAAACTTAACAATGATAGACAAATGGCTTGGCCTATGATTCCAAACCAAAGGAAGCCACCTTTTTGCAAAATCCCTGCATGCAAACACTTAATAGAAAGAAAATAAAGTTGGAGCTCCTGATACAGACGTACCAGCACACTTCTGTTACACCTTAAATCAAAGCTCATGCTTCAGTTTCTCTGCCAAGACTATTTTCCAGGCAAATGCTTCACATGAATCCTAAACCATAGCACACATATCAAGATTGGAGTTGTGTATATTTGGTCATGATTACAACTTTAAAGCATGGGCGGGGGGTGGGGGTGGATGACTAAGTCACACAACTATCATAACCAATTGTAATCCAAAAAGGAACTCTTCCAGGTTGTGGTTCAAGAATAAAACTTTTCAGCTCTGCTAATAGTGGAAACTCCTGTTCCCCAAACCGCAATCTTCCAGGTTTACCTGCGACATGATAAACATCTCCAAACTCAGGAAGCTTCCATGAAACATCACTTTCTGGTTCTGAAAAGGAAGAGACACACTTTCAAACTCTCCTGCCTGAGAAATGAGGAAGTTCAAAAAAACAACTATAATACTTTTGCTCTTGTAACCAAAATTAGGCTCCAAGGTATGGTGATTCCTTCTAATGGACTCAGACTGGGTTTATTTTATTTATTTATTTTGCACATTTGTATTCTGTTCTTCTCACACACCCTGGCTGGGGGTGGGGAGGACGACAATTCAGGGCAGCTGCACAACAATCACTCATTCAGTGCCAACCACATTCATAAAAAATACATTTAAAACAATTCATTTAAACATTAATAAAGCATTTGTTAAAAATCATGCAGGTTTCAAATCAAAGTCCATGGCAGTTCATTGTCATTCATATCACCTGAGTCTTATTCTCGATTGCTGCCTCTATCGTTCAAACGCTTGGTACCATAAACAGGTTTTGAGTTTCTTTCTAAAGGACAGGAGGAAAGTAGCCAATCTGATGTCACTGGGGAGAGTTCCACAGGTGAGGGGCCACCACTGAGAAGGCCCTGTTTCTCATCCCCACCAGTCACGTTTCCGATGGTGGTGGGTTTGAGAGCAGGGCCTCTTTAGCTGATCTTAAACTTCGTGATGGTTCATAATTGGAGATACGTTCGGACAGGTAATCTGGGCCGGAACCGTTTAGGGGTTTAAAGGTTAAGACCATCACTTTGAATTGTGCTCAGTAGCAGATCGGCTATACAGAAGATCTGTATAGAAAGGATAATAATATTGAGGATAACTTTGACAGTGTGGTGAATGAATTAGAACCAGACATCCTGAGGAGTGAGGTTGAATGGGTCTTAAGAAGCATTGCTAACAACAAGGCAGCAGGAGACGACGGGATCCCAGCTGAACTGTTTAAAATCTTAAAAGATGATGCTGTCAAGGTGATGCATGCCATATGCCAGCAAATAAGGAAAACACAAGAATGGCCATCAGACTGGAAAAAATCAACTTATATCCCCATACCAAAAAAGGAAATGCGAAAGACTGCTCAAACTTCCGTACAGTGGCCCTTATTTCTCATGCCAGTAAGGTAATGCTCAAGATCCTGCAAGGAAGACTCCAGCAATACATGGAGCGAGAGTTGCCAGATGTTCAAGCTGGGTTTAGAAAAGGCAGAGGAACGAGAGACCAGATTGCCAATATCCGCTGGATAATGGAGAAAGGCAGGAAGTTTCAGAAAAACATCTATTTCTGCTTCATTGACTATTCTAAAGCCTTTGACTGTGTGGATCATAATAAATTGTGGCAAGTTCTTGGTGGGAATGGGCATACCAAGCCACCTTGTCTCTCTCCTGAGGAATCTGTACAAGGACCAAGTAGCAACAGTCAGAACTGACCACGGAACAACAGACTGGTTCAAGATTGGGAAAGGCGTACGGCAAGGCTGCATACTCTCACCCAACCTTTTTAACTTGTATGCAGAACACATCATGCGATGTGCGGGGCTTGACGAATGCAAGGCTGGGGTGAAAATTGCTGGAAGAAACATTAACAACCTCAGATATGCAGATGACACCACTCTGATGGCCGAAAGCGAGGAGGAGCTGAGGAGCCTTCTAATCAAGGTGAAAGAAGAAAGCGCAAAAGCTGGGTTGCAGCTAAACATAAAAAACCAAGATTATGGCAACAAGAATGATTGACAACTGGGAAATAGAGGGAGAAAATGTGGAGGCTGCGTGACAGACTTTGTATTTCTAGGTGCAAAGATTACTGCAGATGCAGACTGTGGCGAGGAAATCAGAAGACGCTTCCTTCTTGGGAGGAGAGCAATGTCCAGTCTCGATAAAATAGTAAAGAGTAGAGACATCAGACTGGCAACAAAGATCCGCCTAGTCACAGCCATGGTATTCCCTGTAGTAACCTACGGATGTGAGAGCTGGACCTTAGGGAAGGCTGAGCGAAGGAAGATCGATGCTTTTGAGCTGTGGTGTTGGAGGAAAGTGCTGAGAGTGCCTTGGACTGCGAGAAGATCCAACCAGTCCATCCTCCAGGAAATAAAGCCCGACTGCTCACTGGAGGGTAAGATACTAGAGACAAAGTTGAAGTACTTTGGCCACATCATGAGGAGACAGGAAAGCCTAGAGAAGACAATGATGCTGGGGAAAGTGGAAGGCAAAAGGAAGAGGGGCCGACCAAGGGCAAGATGGATGGATGGCATCCTTGAAGTGACTGGACTGACCTTGAAGGAGCTGGGGGTGGTGACGGCCAACAGGGAGCTCTGGTGTGGGCTGGCCCATGAGGTCACGAAGAGTCGGAGACGACTGAACGAATGAACAACAAAAAGAAAATCGGCAGCCAGTGTAGCTGGCGTAGCAGAGGGGTTGTATGCTCTCTGTATGCTACTCCAGCTGACTCTTTGAACTAGTTGAAGCTTCCAAGCAGTCTTCAAAGGCAACCCCACCAGACCACCAAGTCTGACACTGTCATATAATCCAGTTTCTGAATCTAGATCATCTGCTTTGAACTAGATTATATGAGCCTACACTACCATACAATCCAGTTCAAAGCAAATATTCTGAATTCAAAAACAGGATTATATCACAGTATAGATCGGGCCTTAGGAACAGCATTTTGTCAATAATACTAGGATAGATTCAAACAAGCTATATGTAACTTAGGCCCTTTCCACACAGTTGTATAAAACCCCACATTTTCTGCTTTGAACTAGGTTATATGGCAGTGTGAACTCAGATAACCCACAGCACTTCCAGACAGCACCAAACAGGAGCGTGGCCAGACGACATTCCCTATAAATGCGGAAACAATCGGTCCAAAAGACAAAAAATGCGAGATTTCCAGGTGTGGGAATATCGCAATTTTGAGCCAAATATGTGGATCTTTGCATGTCTGCATGGATGCTTCCAGACAGCACCAAATCACAGGTTTTAAACAGGGGCAAAAAGTCCTAGGACTTCAGAAGAGGTCCACATACATACCTGTTGGTCCTGGGATTTCTGCCTCCATTGTCCAGATTTGATGTTTTGTTGAGAGATTTAGAGGCTCCCGCCACAGGACTGTATGTGGACCTCTTCTAAAGTCCCATATATTTTTGCCCCTGTGTTAAACCTGTGATTTGGTGCTGTCTGGAAGCATCCATACAGACATGCAAAGATCCACATATTTGGCTCAAAATCGCGATATTCCCACACCTGGAAATCTCACGTTTTTTGCCTTTTGAGAGATTGTTTCCGCATTTACAGGGAATGGCGTCTGGCCACCCTCCTGTTTGCTGCGGAAACTCCTGGGATAAAGGTACTTTCTGGATGAGCCCCTAGTTCAAAGCAGATATTGTGGATGATCTGCCTTGATATTCTGGCTTATATAATAATAATAATAATAATAATAATAATAATAATAATAATAATAATAATAATAATACTGAATGTGGCACAAACCAGTAAAGGTGGTCCCAGTGGTGATCGGCACACTGGGTGCAGTGCCTAAAGACCTTGGCCTGCACTTAAACACAATCGGCGCTGACAAGATTACCATTTGCCAGCTGCAAAAGGCCACCTTACCAGGATCCGCACACATTATTCGCCGATACATCACACAGTCCTAGACACTTGGGAAGTGTTCAACGTGTGATCCAATACAACAGCCAGCAGAATGTCTGCTGTGGACTCATCTTGTGGTGTTTCAAATAATAATCATCATCATCTTTATTTATACCCCGCCACCATCTCCCCAAAGGTTAACGCTAAGGTTTCCTTAGCGTTATACCCCGCCACCATCTCCTTGCAATCCTTCAATGACTTATCTGGGAGTAACCTCCACTAAAAACAATGAGACCTACTTCTTAGGACCTTCCACAAAATTGTGATGTAATTTTTCGTTACTTTGTATTTTAATTTGTTGTGCTGTATTTTCGGGCTTGGCCTCATGTTAGCCCGAAACCTTTGGGGAGATGGTGGCGGGGTATAAATATGGTGGCGGGGTAGCAGGGATGGTTTTTGAGTTATGTTAATCCCACAAACGGACATTACATTTTTGTTTATATAGATTGGGGGGGGGGGGGGCTGACTTTTCAATAACATTGATGCACCTAGGGGAAAATACTCAGAGCAGGACCAATTGCTATAAAGCACAAAGAGTACATACAGCCTGTGGAATTCTTCAGTGTATGCAAAATAAGCACAGTGACAATTCATAACAATATATATTTTTTAAAAACACACAATCGTCCTAGCATTGCTAAGCTGATTAACATATGTGATAGACTATAGAAAACAATGTCCCAGTTCATACCCAAATCAATAGACTCAAATTTTGATGTGGACATCCCTAGTAAACATAAATACATCTCGAAAGAAAACAAGTGTCTTTTTTGAACAAGACACCAACTTAGAATCCTTATGTAGGTCTTCCTTTTCTATCCCCCTATATATATATATATATTTAAAGGTAAAGAACTAGCTAAAGTAAGCAAAGTAATAGACAATTCATAGGAGGGATAGCATAACTTTGATGTTATTTTGCTGCCTTAGTGGTGTATAAACAACAAATTTTGCAAACAACAGAATTTCTATTCTTCTTCCATCCAAATGGGGGGAAAAATCAAAAATCCTTATTTACCTGCAAGAGAGGAACATAAGGCAAGGGTCATGAGTATCCATCTCAGAGGCCCCATTATCCACCATCGAAGGTGCCAAGCCTCACCTCCTGAACAAACTTGAGAGGAACTTAAGAATAACAGCAGCACAATGTAGGTAAAAAGGGATTTGTCCAACCAATGAAAATCACCAGATTTGGGGGGCAGTACAGCGCTTTCGTCTTGCCTGGTTGGAATGGGAAGGGAGCAGGAGCAAGATGCTATAGCCCATTTTCAGTTGACCTTTTGGTGGATTAACCCCCACACACCACACACAGCTTGTTTAGATGTTACAGGCATTTAAAATATGCATGGCTTGAAGTAGGAGAAAGTTCTGAGCTAAAGCTCTTTGGCTTTTACTAGCAGTGAAAGCTTAACATGGCGATGCAGAGTTTTCCTTCTTCTGAAACGGAAGGGACGGTGTGCCACTGCAACACAGGTTTTGATATGGACAGCACAGGCACAGTATATTGAAGACCTGCAAGTGAGTTCCTATTGTCTCCAATTACTGGCCCAGCTGTTGAGATCTGCTGGGTTATTTATTTATTTATTTGTCGTGTCAGGACAACCAGTCAAATTATATTACATTTCTAACAGAACAAAGCAAACAAACAGACAAAATACAGAATTTGTGAGTTTGGTAGTTGATTAAATGTCCTTTGACCAGTATCTGGCCACTTGGAGTGCTTCTGGTGTTGCTGCAAGAAGGTCCTCCATTGTGCATGTGGCAGGGCTCAGGTTGCATTGCAGCAGGTGGTCAGTGGTTTGCTCTTCTCCACACTCGCATGTCGAGGATTCCACTTTGTAGCCCCATTTCTGAAGGTTGGCTCTGCATCTCGTGGTGCCAGAGCGCAGTCTGTTCAGCGCCTTCCAAGTCTCCCAGTCCTCTGTGTGCCCAGGGGGGAGTCTCTCATTTGGTATCAGCCATTGGTTGAGGTTCTGGGTTTGAGCCTGCCACTTTTGGACTCTCGCTTGCTGAGGTGTTCCAGTGAGTGTCTCTGTAGATCTTAGAAAACTATTTCTAGATTTAAGTCGTTGACGTGCTGGCTGATACCCAAACAGGGGATGAGCTGGAGATGTCTCTGCCTTGGTCCTTTCACTATTGGCTGCTACTTCCCGGCAGATGTCAGGTGGTGCAATACCGGCTAAGCAGTGTAATTTCTCCAGTGGTGTAGGGCGCAGACACCCCGTGATAATGCGGCATGTCTCATTAAGAGCCACATCCACTGTTTTAGTGTGGTGAGATGTGTTCCACACTGGGCATGCATACTCAGCAGAAGAGTAGCACAGCGCAAGGGCAGATGTCTTCACTGTATCTAGTTGTGATCCCCAGGTTGTGCCAGTCAGCTTTCGAATGATATTGTTTCTAGCACATTCCAAGAACATCTGGGGAAATGCAAGCTTTCCATTCCATGTATGAATCTCAGACTAGGGGTCTCAACCTAGAAAAGAGAATCATATTCATCTCACATCTGTCTTGACCCTGACAACCCCCTTAGCAGAGAAAGCTCTTCTTTTAGATCAGTGTCTCTCAACCTAGGGGTTGGGACCCCTGGGGGAGCTGCGAGGGGGGTGTCACAGGGGTCACCAAAGACCATCAGAAAACACAGTATTTTCTATTGGATATGGGGTTCTGTGTGGGAAGTTTGGCCTAATTCTATCGTTGGTGGGGTTCAAATGCACTATGATTGCAGGTGAACTATAAATTTCAGGAACCACAGCTCCTAAATGTCAAGGTCTGTTTTCCCCTAAATTCCACTAGTGTTCACATTTGGACATATTGAGGATTTGAACTACAACTACCAGAATTCAAAAACAGCCCCTCCCCGACCCCACTAGTAATCAATGTTGGCCATGTAGGTAGCATGTCGAGGTTAGTACAGATCCCTTATGAGCTGGATTCAGAATGCTCTTTGATTGTAGATTAACTATAAATCCCAGCAACTTCAACTCCCAAATGTCAAGGTCTATTTTTCCCAAACTTTGGGCATACTGAGTATTCATGCCAAGTTTGGTCCAGATCCAGGCCCGTAGCCAGGATTTTGATTATTTTTTTTGGGGGGGGGGGCTGAGTTTGATTCGGGAGGGGCTGAGTCTGAGTGAAAGAGGGTCTACCCTAGCAAACCTTTTGTATCGTTACCCCAATACCCCCATGCATATGAGATATATTGAGCATGGTGATCAGATCATGATATGAATAAACATAACAGTTTAAATAATGTACCAGTAAGGCCTTTTCACAGACCACCATGAGAATTTGGGGGGGGGCTGAAGCCCCCCAACCCCCCCCCCCCCCATGCCAAGTTTGGTCCAGATCCATTAATGTTTGAGTCCACAGTGCTCTCTGGAGGTAGGTGAACTACAACTCTAAAACTGAAATCAATGCCCACCAAACCCTTCCAATATTTTCTCTTGGTCATAGGAGTTTTGTGTGCCAAATTTGGTTCAGTTCCATAGTTGGTGGAGTTCAGAATGCCCTTTGATTGTAGTTTAACTATAAATCTCAGCAACTACAATTCCCAAATGACAAAATCAATCCCACCAACCCCACCAGTATTGAAATTTGGGCATATCAGTTGTGCCAAATTTGGTCCAGTGGATGAAAATACATCCTGCACGTCTGATATTTACATTACGATTCATAACAGTAGCGAAATTACAGTTATGAAGTAGCAATGAAAATAATGTTATGGTTGGGGGTCACCACAACATGAGGAACTGGATTAAGGGGTCACAGCATTAGGAAGGTTGAGAAACACTGACTTAGATGAAGGGTGAGAAGGCAGGATCATCAAGTTTGCAGACGTGACCACATTGGGAGGGAAAGCGAATACTCCAGAAGACAGGAACAGAATTCAAAACCATCTCAACAGATTAGAGGGATGATAGGCCAAAACGAACACAATGAAGTTCAAGAGGGACAAATGCAAGATACTTCATTTAGATAGAAAAAAAAAAGAAATGCAAAGAGACAGAATGGGGGATGATGCCTGGCTCGAGAGCAGGACATGGGGGGAAAATCTTGGGCATCCTCATGGGGAGGATGGGGAACATGAGCCAGGAATGTCATTTGACAGCAAAAAAAAAGTCATTGGGATTTTGGCCTGGATCAATAGGAATCTAGTGCCTAGATCCAGGGAAGTCATGGACTCCCTCTCTTCTGCCTTGGTCAGACCAGTTTACCTGGAATCACACTGTGTACAAGCCTGGACACCACAATTGAAGGGAGATGTTGATTCTAAGGTGGAATGTGTCCAGAGGAGGTCGACTAAAATGATCAAGGGTCTGGAGAACAAGCCCTATGAGGACAGAGCGGCTGAAAGAGCTCAGCAAGTTTAGCCTGAAGAAGAGAAGGCTGGGGCGGCGGGGGAACATGATGAGAGCCATGGACCAAGAGGTGAAAGGCAATCCTAGGGAGGAGGGAGCAAGCTTGTTTTCTGCTGCCCTGGAGACTAGGACGCAATGGAACAATGGCGTCAAACTATGGGAAAGAAAGGAGATTCCTCCTGAACATTAGGAAGAACTTCCTGACGGTGAGAGCTGTTCAGCAATGGAACTCTCTCTTTGCTTCTGAGTGTGGTGGAGGCTCCTTCTTTGGAGGCTTTTAACCAGAGGCTGGATGGCCATCTGGCGGGGGTGCTTTGAATGCGATTTTCCTGCTTCTTGGCAGAATGAGGTTGGACTGGATGGTCCACAAGGTCTCTTCAAACTCTATGGTTCTATGATTCTATTCTGTGCCCAGAGTTTGTTTGATTTAAATGATGCATTTGCTGTTCTTCACAAATGTTTTAATATGCTTATTTTAAATAATGTTTTTAGGTGAATGTGTGTTTTATAATGTCGTAACCCACCTCAAGCTGTAAGGAGGGGAGGGCAAGAATTGTTATTATTATTATTTACATGTACATAACAACCCAGAACACATGCTCATTAGGTCCAAGTGTCTGGGATTTGTCTCTGAATATCGGGCTCTTTCCAAGTGCATAGGAGATTAGAGGTATTATTATTATTATTAGATTATTATACTATACTGGCTGTCCCCTGCCACGCGTTGCTGTGGCCCAGTCTGGTGATCTGGAAAATAAAGCAATGAGAAAGTGTTGGTTTCTAATATATGTAATTTCTTTATGCGTGTGGGTAAACAGTATTTCTTGCTGTTTCTTTGTCAGTGTTGATGTGGAGAGTGTCTGGTTTGCCCACCCTGGAACATGCAACATATCATTGTCCTTCTTTAAGGGTCTCTTTCAAATCTATGATACTATATCTGTGTGTGTGTGTGAATGCTATCTATCTATCTATCTATCTATCTATCTATCTATCTATCTATCTATCTATATCTATGGCAGGATGGCTCTTTGTCAGGAGGACTTTGATTATGTTTTCTTGCCCTGGTGAAGGGAGTTGGACTGGATGGCCTTATTTTCTATTGGTCATGGGGGTTCTGTGTGGGAAGTTTGCTCCGATTCTGTAGTTCGTGGGGTTCAGAATGCTATTTGATTGTAGGTGAACTGTGAATCCCAGTGACTATAACTCCCAAATGTCAACATCTATTTCCCCCAAACTCCATCTGTGTATATTTGGGCATAATGAGTGCTTGTGCCAAGTTTGGTCCAGATCCATCATTATTTGAATCCACAGTGCTCTCTGGATGTAGGTGAACTACAACTTCCAAACACAAGATCAATGCCCACCAAACCCTTCCAGTATTTTCTGTTGGTCATGGGAGTTCTGTAAGCCAAGTTTGGTTCAATTCCATCATTGATGGAGTAAAGAATGCTCTTTGATTGTAGGTGAACAATAAATCCCAGCAACTACAACTCCCAAATGACAAAATCATAATTTTTTGAGTGATGGTCACTCCTTGTGTAGTGAGACGTTTTGTTGCCAACATGATTTCGTTCATTGGTTCTTTTGTTTTTAAGGTACTCATTATGCACAGAGCATTTTATATATATAGATTATTATATTATACTATATTACAATTATTATTACAATATTATTCTACATTATACTATCTTACAATGATACTATACTATATTATTATTATTATTATTATTATTATTATTATTATTATTATTATAATATTTGACATGTAAATAACAACCCAGCACATGAGGTCCAAGTTTCTGGGATTCGTCTCTGAATATTGGGCTCTTCCCAACCGTCTGAGATACTAGAGGTATTTTCATAGAATGTATGCAGCTCTGAGAAGTGCTGCCTTCTGCAGCATGTGGATTGATGTTTTATTATTCTAGGTTGGAATAAGATCAAATACATAAAATATATGCATCAAAATAACATTATTGTGGAGACTACAAATATCATATGCCTGTTGATAGAGAATAGTTATCCTATCCCAGAGGGCCCCATCGATGGGACGGGATGTTACAGAGGGCCTGGTTTCACCAGTGTCTTGGAAAGACATTGAGAAGAGCCAGAACACAACTTCAGTCTTTAGGCAGGTTAGGATGGGAGCAGATATGT